GACAGCTGAAGGCGGGGGAATGGATGGGGCAACACCGTGGGGACACTTCCAAGTCTAAGATCACAAATATGGTTCTTTCTGTCAACTGTTCTCTGTGACACTTCACTTCTGCTGGTCACTGGTTCTCAGCTCCCCATTCTTTATCAAAACAGTGAGAATAATGGCCCTTGGGAAGTCTATGAGCCCCTAGGGCTCTGAATCATTAAATAAAGATTAATGATTTCAGGCTGACATTAGTGCCAGATACATTCTTCCACATCCAGGATGCACAGCAGCTATGGGGATCACCTTTGGTCCACTGGATCTGCACCTGAGGTCACAGGCTGCCTGGAATGACCAGGGAGTGAGAATGGTCTGTCTCTCCCTCTGTCCATGTGCCTCTTTCCCTCCTTCCCTGTCCCAGCTCTTAGGGCCTCCAGCTTCAGTGATACTTCTGTGACCCTGTTCCTCCAGTCATTCAGCTGTGTGTGCCAGGGCAGGTGCTGCAACCTTAACCCCTCAGAGAGCAAGGAGGACTTTAGGGGTCTTCTGGTCACAGAAGATGAGACTCAGATCTGGGCTCAGAAGATGTCAGCCTCAGACGGGACCCTAGCATTCTCCAGGGAGGCAAAAGAAGTAAGCAGGGAAAGCTCTAGACCAGAACGTCTGGATCCTGGCTCTGCTGTTTCATGAGACTTCAAGTGAATAACAACCTTCCTGTGCTGTTTCCTCGTCTGTAAAATGCAATAATCCTAGTGTGGCTTGGATGTGTTGTGTGTTATCAGTTCCTACACATCAGGTCCTTAGAACAGGGCTGACGCATGTGATGTGCTCAATAACTCTTAGCTATTATTGTTCTTTTTCTGGCCAACCCCTTTGCCTTGGGATGGAGCCACAAAGAGAGAGTGGCTTGCTCCTGAGTTAGCAACTGAGCCAGAGTCAAACTCAGGGTTATGGCTTCCCAATCCAGGGAGCATCATCCCTCCAGGGGATAATCTACTACAATCTACCTCTTGCCTGAAGATGAATCAGAAAAGAGAAGTGGAGAGAGGGACATGCGTAGGCAGAAAGACAGAGGCCAGAAGACAAAGCCCTTTCATTTGTTTCCAAACTCTCACACTCCCGCATGACCCAGAGGGATTTGAAAAGAAAAAAGAAAAAAAAATAGCAACAAAATTACTGGCAAATTATAGCTGTCTATTAGTGGGGACTTCATTGATAAAAGCCCCCGGAAATCATGCTGAGGTGTAATCACGGCCTCAGCCACTGACGGCATCAGGCTTGGATGACTCACGCACCGTGACATCTCGGGTGGATGAGATGTTAGCCTTGTGTGGATTAGTGAATCACCCTTGAATTTTCTTCTTTAAAGACTCAACAAAGGTGACAGACCTTCCCACAAGCACTGACTGCTCCAAGGTGGGAGAGAGCAATTACGGCACAGAGTTGTTGTGCGTGTTAAGCGAGTTTATATAGATCAAATCCGTAGGACTGCATCTTCTGCCCCATAGGGTCAATAATGATGACAATCACCAGAGTCTCCCATTAGCTTTGTGTGGAGGTCTGGGGTCCCCAACTAGATGATAAGTTGCTTTCAAGCAGGGTCTGAGCCCTCCCCTTCTCTTGTGTCCCCTATAGTTGGACACATAGGCAGGCACAGTGAGTAGGCACTGATTTAAGTGTACAAGATTCTAAGATGCTAAAACCTCCAAATACTGAACAACAGCACTGCCATTGCCTGGACCTGATAGGGAGCCATGGAACACAGGATGGTCCTCTGATGGCATGTTTGGCTGTAGCTTGAGAGCTGAGCAGAAGACCCATGCACTTGATCTTAGCCAAAAGACTGAGAAGCAATGAGAGCAGTAGACCCTATCCCCAGTGATCACTGGTGGTGGGATTCACACCTACCCCTGGCCAGCAGAATCAGACGAACTCTAGAACCAGCAAGTCTGGAAGCTACACCCCATCCTAGATACATATCTATGCTGGAAGCACTGGTCACAGAGCTTTGTGTCTCTAGTTTTCCCAAGTCCTGTCCACTCATCATTACCTTTGATCCTGACACCAGTTCTGGAGGGACAGGGAAAGCTTCATTATCCTAGTTACTTGGGTGTGCGGAGGCCAAGAAAGGTTGGATGAACTGCCCATTGTCCTGTCTAACAGTGGCTCACCAGTATGAGGGGCCTGTATCTGGCCTTGAATGCAGGGCTCCATTACCTTCCCCCCTCTTTGACTGGCCCCTATCCCAGGGTAGACTGCTGAGCCCAGATACCTCCACGATGAAGCGGGAGGCCGACTTCCTCTCAAAGAACAGCTTCTGCTCCCTCTTATTGGTGCACAGGTACTTCTCCTGGGTGCACACAGCATCACAGCCATAGATGACAATGAAGATGTTGGCATCTGTACCAGCGGCAAAGACATCACTGGTGTAGAGGGTGATCTCATAAGGAACAACTAGGAGTGGTGAGCAGAGGGGATGAGAGGACAGAAAATAAACACAGTGAGGGCAAGCTGTTCACCAGAACCACCCATCCAGACTCCAAGGACCTGGGCCTTCACGAGGTTACCTAGCAACCACAGGCTGGGGGGCCTGTCCTTCCCAGTGCCCACGAAATGCTCCTGCCCTTTTAGACCAGGGTCTGTGAACTTCTCACATCCCAGAGCTAGGGTGCCAGACTGATTGAAATCACAGACTCCTGAATTTGACAAGCTAGGCTCAAATTCTGGCACTATCTCAACCTTCCATGTGACCTGGTCAGGGTACTTACAAGCCTCAGTTTCCACCATCTGTAAAGTGCCCTTTACCTGGTGCTTCACTGAAGATACTCTAGGAATAGGAGCTTCCAATTTCAGGGGCTAACTTGCCAATCGGATCAGCCAGTGGTGAGAATTCCTTCTCTTCTGCCCTGTCCCTCACTCACTGGCCTATCCTCCTCAACCCGTCTGGGCCACACCTCATGGAGGTTTCTTCAATTTATAGAGCCTTCTAAAAGGGAGGGGACAGAGCAGGTGAGGGCTGCTCCAGGGTTTACTTGGCTTGCCCAGGGACTCTCTGTCCTTGAATGGACTTGACCCATCAGCACTGCTAGCCAGCAACTTCCCAGAGGGTGGCCACCAGCACGTCCCTGTGCATGGGCTGAAGACCCTTCTGCTTCAGAAACTTTTGGGGTGCCTATTAAAAATACTCCTCAGATTTTCTGCAGGTCTAGATATTTAACTCATACTTTAAAGTTTGAGACCAGTAGTCTAAAACAATGAATTGCTAACTACACGTTAGGTCACTAGCAGGTTGTGAAGTGCATTTAGTGGCTTGTCATCAGTATTTTTAAAAATATATGAAATTGAATAGAATCAAATAGAAAAATGTCACTGTATATCACACACAAGGAGGGTAACATGTTTTCATGACTTTTTTGTCTGTTGCATATGTATATGAACATGTATACTCTGGGTCATAGTGAAAAAAAAAGATTAAAAACTCAGAGAAAGAGTTTAAGAATCTACCATATCCTGTGATTTTGACCCTTAAAAATTCTCTCCCTCTGGTGGCCTCAGCCTTCTCCAGATGAGGAGTATGGTTTTCATTCATTGTCATGACTACTTTGCTGGGAGACTGCGGCAGTAACACTCTCAGTAATAGCAGCTATTACTCACTGAGCACTTGCCATGTGCTAGACCCTAGATTAAGAACTCTACAGCTTTTATCTTTTTTAGTCCTCACAGTGACTCAGGGGAATATGTATTATTATATTTCCACTTTACGGGTGGGAAAATCAGGGCCCATAGAGGTGAAGTAACTTGCCCAGGGTCACATGATGGACCTTGGGCTTGGGCCAGGCATGTCTGACCTCAAAGCCTTGTGTGATCAGCCTCTGGGAATGTTGTTCTGAGCTAGAGGTAAGAACTGCCATTGAGCTGTAGGCCACAGGGAGGCACAGCCCAGGAAGGTGACCACCAGCCCCATGATGACTTGAAGACACCCTCACTTATGGCCTGGAAAGAAATACAGCCCCACAAGCAATAATGAGGGCACCATCTCTGCAGCATGCTGTCCCCTCTTCTGAGTCCTCTGAGGTCTCTCCCTGACTTAAGGTCTGAAAAGCCTTGGGCAGAAAAGCTGGCAGTAGGACCTGAGCCTTCCTGAGACCAGCTGGCAGGTGAAGCTCTGGAAACTTCTAGGCAGGAACAGCCCAATTCTCGGCACAGGCCGGGGCCCAGATTTGGTTCCTGGTGTCTAGTTCTGCCTCTGCCTGTGGGTAGCTGTGTGCCCTTGGACAAACAGCTATACCTCTCTGGGCCTCAGTTTCCTTACCTATAAATTGAGAGGGGTTAATTAGATCTGTGATCTTCAGTTTCATAATAGGATTCTTCTATACACATTTAGTAAGAACATTCAGAAACAAAACAAAACAAAACAAGACAAAACACTTTTAAAAGCTGAAGAGCTGCTAAGATAGCATGAATGGGGTGGGCCTTTCCCAGCTGTCTTTCTCCTCCTGCCAGTGGAGCTAGAAGTTCAGAGCATCCCAGGAGGCCCCTTCCTCATTTGTACACCTCTCCCGTGTGGGTGGCACATGTCAGTCGGTCTGAGAGCAGCCGTTCCTCTCGGTCTATTCTTTACAGTTTCTCATGTGTATTGGGCAGCCGGAGAACTGCCAAATCTAGGTCCCAAGATTCTTCCCAGGTGCCTGATAAGGATGCCTGGACCAGTCAGGGAAGCCGGTTCTGAGCAGCAGATGTCTGTGCCCCCGCCAGAGAGAGCTGCACGTTTAAACTGCTCCTCTGTTCTTCAGCCTGAAACTCAAGTCTTTACTGCATCTTCTTTATTGCAAATATGTGTCTAAGACAAAGGGTAAATCAGTTTTAATATCAAACTGGAGCTGAACATATTCTAGGGTAATCAAGGTCAAGCCATATACATTTTTTCCTTCCTTCCTTCCTTCCTTCCTTCCTTCCTTCCTTCCTTCCTTCCTTCCTTTCTCTCTCTCTCTCTCTTACTTTCATGCAGATAAAGGTGTGTTCTAGGGCATGAAAGGAGAAATGGTGGAGGAGGACACTTCCATTCTCAAGTGTTCCACACCATCCTGCCACCAGCCCTGTGTACCTCTGGCAGGTCAGTGTCTATCCCTGACTGCAAGTGAATCCTGGGAACAGAGGCTGGGTCCAGGGTTTGCTTTGTACGTGCCTGGCCAGAGAAACGCCACTTTATTTCAGGCTTTGAACCAGAAAATATATTTGATCTGTTCATTTCTAGTTTACTTGCATTAGGAAAAAAAAAAAGTTCATCCGTGATTCATGCTGTTTAAGATGTTTGGGGGAAATCTTTTAGTACAGTTCATTATTTAGTTGGGAAAAAAATTGTATCTCCTGGTTTGGTTCAGATTTTACCAAAGTCAGACAGATTTTGACAGTTTGGTTGATGTCCACGTGTCCAATACCTACTGTGTTCTTGAACATGACTTACACATATATAAACACTTAATGCATATTTTCTGGAGGTGACAGTGGAAGGGAAGTGCCAAACCGTCACCAAATTTCTTCTCTGCCACCTTTCCTTTAGCCAGAAAAAGGATTTACATTTACCTTCTTTTTTAGTTCTGGGTTATGCTTCCCCTCAATCCATAAGTGAGGGCCTCTTTCAGCCATCAACCTGCACCATCTGAGAAAACCCGATGTGGTGATTTCTTTGGCATGTTCATGATGGAATGGGGATCGCTGATGGAGCGGATAATGGTGCCTCACAGTCAGTCCTTATCTTCCTTCTTTTTGGATATTATAATCATCCTGCATAATCATCTCAATTTTGCAGATGAGGAAACTGAGCTCTAGAGAGGTTAGGCTGTCTACACGTTTTCACCAGCTAGTCTGGGGGTAGAGTCTGGAATAAACCCTGTATTTTATTTTCTTGGGTCCAGAGTTTTATCCACAGCCTCCAACGAGCTCAGGAAACTCAGAAAAGGGATAAGAAACCCAAATCTCCGAGTTTGGCCTGGCTCAGAGTCCACACTGGACGAGGAAGAGGAACTGGGGCTGAGTTGGGGTTGCCAATGGTAGGGACCTGGAGAGGGCCAGCCTTGCCATGTGTGGTCCTTACATGGTGTGTACAGCCTCGTCTGAAGCTCCGCGTGGAAGAGGTCCCTGACGATGGCCCCATCGTCTTCATTCTTGGCCAGCCAGCGGCCACAGGGGAACACCATGCACTTTCCAAGAGATGGGGCGTCAACCTCTACCCAGTCTACAAACCAGCCTGGGGCTTTGCCTGGAGAGAGAGGAGACACGGACCCCATCAAGGAGCTATGCAGAGACGGTTTCCTATGGGTAACTTCTGGGACTGCCAGCATCCTTCCCTACTCGAGGCTGACACCTGTATTTCCACTGTCACTGTGTCATCCCTTCTGGTTGCAGCATTGCTAAAATGACTCCTGTTACTGTGTGCACCCAGCCAAGGCCAGACCATGCTCCAAGGTGCTGTCAGTGAAAAGAGAATTGAGAGGAGATGACGGGATGGTAGGAGGAACATGTGGCCCTAGGGGTGGGGGGCAAAGCAAAGATGTGTCCCAGGGGTGAGCCTAGGGATGCCAAAAAGAGCTGTGTTCACCAAAATTTTATAATTTCACCCAATGGCAGGGATGACACAAATGAACCAAAGACTCTGTAGGTGGGGCTAAGAAATTGGTGTTTTAGTTACTCCCCAGATAGTTCTGACATGCACTTAAGTTAGAGAACAACTGAGCTAGATCAGGGGTTTTCAAATCTGGCTGTACATTAAAATTACCAAGATTGGAGGAAAGGCTTCAAAAATCACGAGTGTCAGGCTCAGCGCCCGTAGCACAGTGGTTACAGTGCCAGCCACATACACCAAAGCTGGAGGGTTTGAACCCGGCCCAGGCCAGCTAAATAACAATGACAACTGCAACAAAAAGTAACCAGGCATTGTGGCGGGCACCTGTAGTCCCAGCTTCTTGAGGCTGAGGCAAGAGAATCTCTTAAGCCCAAGAGTTTGAAGTTGCTGTGAGCTGTGATGCCACAGCACTCTACCAAGGGCGACATAAGACTCTGTCTAAAAAAAAAAAAAAATCACCAATGTCCAAGTCTTCCCCCCAGACCAGTTAGACAGAATCTCTGTGTGCAGCCAGGGCTCCACTGAGCCAAAGCAGTTGAAGAAGCTGTGTCATTAGGGAAGGCAGATGGCATTCATATTTCCAGACTCACTCCCAGAGGCCCACAGAAACCTGTCCACGGTCCTCACAGCCTTAGCAGAGAACAGAGAGGAGAAAGAGACAGCCAAACCTGAGTTGTCGTGGCCAACCCGGACTTTCCACAGGTCTCCCAGATCCAGGGTCTCAACCGTGAAGATTTCGATGCTGTCCCTCTCAAACTTATCACTGTTGGTTTTGGAGGACTTCAGGAGCGTCATTCCTGCCAACCATATGACCCTAACATGACCAGCTGGACCCGAGACCTTTCAAACCCTGTCTGACCCAAACCTTTTATTCCCCCCTTAATGTGACTATATTTCTCGACTTCTACCAAATTTAGACTATGCAATTACCATCCACTAGGCAGCTTTGCACCCCGGGCATTTTCCAGGGGGGCGTGCCCTTTACTGAGCTTTACATTAACCTTTGAGGTAGGCATTTTTATTTCCAGTTTATGTCTATGGAAAGGCCTTATCCAAGATCACCCAGGTGAAGATGGTGAGGTCCCCAGACAATGTCTGTTTTTTCCCTCTACCCCTCACAATTCTCTACATGGGGAAAGAGCCAGTGACAAAGTCAAGTTCCTCATGCTTGTTTATGAAATAGGTGGTCTTCTCTGGGGACAGGAAGTGTGGGGACTCTTCTCTGGATGACAGATGAGTGTTTCTTCAAATTCCTCCCACCAGCCATCTCACATATGTAATTCATCCTGGGACTCTGACGTCAGTCTGCAATTTGAGGTGGTCTCAGAGTCCTCACCATCTCCTCCTGCCTCAGCACACGTTATGTAGCCTTTACGTCCCAGATCTGGGTCCTCCTCACGCAGGAAGTCTTCTGATATTCATAGACTCATTCCAGAAATAGTTTAAGTGCACAGAGGGATAAGCAGACCTTGGTCCAATGCCTGGCCCTGCCACTTACTATCTGGGTGACCTTGGGAAAATTACTTAATGTTTGTGAGACTTAGTTTCCTCCAATGTCAAAAAGGGGGGGTCATGGTGCCTTCCCTGAAGGCTTGTTCTAGGACTTAATAAGATGGTTACTTTGGAGTGCTTAAGACTGTTTCTAACATGAAGAAAGCCCTCAGTGAACAAGAGTAGTTGTTAGGACCAATCAATTCCTTTGACCAAACTGGTCTTTAGGAACTGTTACGATTACATACATTTGTAAGTTATGACTGGATTCTTTCTATACATTATTTGATTTATCTGACCTATTCAATAATAAGTATTATTAACATTTATTGGGTGCCACTGCATCCCTAATATTTCACATGTCCAGTTTCATTAAATCTATACCTCTATGAGGTATATACAGTTTTACCCCCATTTTAAAAATAAGGGAAACTAAGGTACAGAAAGTTGAAGCAACTTGCCCAAGGTCACACAGCTAATTAATGGTGGAATGGAAATTTGAACCAATCAGCCAAGCTCCAGAGTCCATGTTCTTTCCAGCACACCAATGTGTTATAATACAATACAAATACCCTGTGATCATAGATTGGGTCCATTTATTCTTTAATTACACTTGGCATGGGGATCTGGACCCATAGGGTTTCAAACAAATGCATGATGACTACTTGAGGGACTGATTCTTCCCTAAACTCAGGCAGAATGGCTGGACAGGTGGCCTGAGTGGGTGGCTAAGCCCAACACTAAATGCCACCTTATTCCAGGCAGAGGCTCCAGAATAATCTAAGATTCCTGGAGCAGCTCACACTGAGAACACGATGGGGGCAGTTGGCTAAATCTCATTGGAAGTTAGAAGAGCCCATTTTTCCCAGGTTTTTATTGGGGTGAAGTTAGGGTTGCAGCTATCTCTACCATTAGAACAGAAAGAGGAAGCTGGCACAGAGAGGAGGAATTTTTTTTTTCTTTAGAAAAAAAGGAACTTTTTTTTCTCTGATGGGTTTAGTTGCCTGCACTCTGCTGAGACACAGAGGCATGACCTGGATTTCCTTGGAAACTTCTGCTGAATCTTGTGGTCTCCCTGGGGGGGAATGTGGGGGAACCTCGGCCCTGTGTTGCTTTCTTACCCGTGTTGTCTTGCGTGCCGAAGAGTGTGATGAAGACATTGGCATCTGTACCCGCATTCTTCTTGGCCCCGGTCTTTATGGTCACTGAGAACGTGGTGGATTTATCTGCCAGGGGGAACGTGTAGAACATGAGCTGTAGATTTTTCTTCCCATGAATGGAGGGAGGGGTAAAACAGAGCAGGCTCTAGGAGGACTTCCTAGACGCACCCATCTATCCATCTATCTGCTCCATCTATTCAGTCCTTCCTCTGTCCCTTCCATTCTGTCCCCGTGAGCCCTGGGATGAGTAATGAGCATGTTTCTGTGTTCCCGTCGGCCATTTCTATGCATCACTCTACTCATAGTATGTGTGTTCTGCAGTCACCACTAGTCTGGAAATTTCTGGAGGGTAGAGATGAGGCTCCCCTTCTAGCTCACACACTAAGCCCTCAATCAATAGAGTTGATAGGATGGTTAGGAGAGACTTGGGGGGCTGCAACCTGCCATCTCCAGCCTGGGAGGAGTTTTAGGGATGTAAGCTTCAGGGGAGGGAGCCCCAGCCATGATAGAACACTTCAATGTCCATGATTTCCCTTGACAAAAATGCATTAAGTGACTATACTGTGCCAGAGGACAGGACAAAAGCTGAATCTATTCCATTGCATTCCTGAAAACCGCTCTGTCCTAAGCCATGTGCTTCATACCTAGCCCTGTGCTTGGTGTATGGGAATATGGTCCCCTCACCTCCCCATTCTCACCATGGATGAATGAGAGGACTGTGCACATAGACTGTCAGAGGAGGAGGGGCCAAGGGCCCACAGGGGAGAGAGGGAAGATAGAGACCAGGGTAGGGACAGGCAGAGGGGAAGGGTGCTAGAGAAAAGAAATTAGCTCTAGTTTAGGAAACCTTTCTGCTCCAGGGCCAGGTTGTCGAGGGGGTTGTTGTCACCACCACCACCCTCCTCATCCGTGCTTGGTGGCAGCACGTAGGACTCGTCCACTGGCAGTAGCTCCCTGGACAGCTGCCCATCATCCTCCTCCACGGCCAGCCAGCGTTGGCATGGAAAGTAATACCTGTGGGAGGTGGGGGGAGGGAAAGGTTGGGAATGTCCTCTGGGGAAGGTCTCCTGCAGGGACAGTCATGCGCTGAGAACAGAGGCCCTCCAAGGGCCCTGAGCCTACGTCTGCCCTCACAGCATTGCCCGCCTATCCTTATCCTTCCCCTGTCTGGGAATCACCTCATTCGTCACTGGCCTGAGGGAGAGAATAAACATGGGGACATTGTCTCCAGACATTCCATTGAAAAAATGGCTGTGTGACATGTCCGGAGCTTCATGGACACTCAGAGTTATATTGGATGGAAATATCCAGAAGGAGAGGGTCTTATGGGCACCCTCCCATCCCTTTCTGGACTTAACCTGTTAGCCAGAGCTACTTTAGCAGAGAGGGTTGTACACACTGGGAGCTTGATACATAAGTGTTCAGTTAGTAAATTTTAATGGAATGAGCCAATCGTGCTTTTGGAAGGTACAAAGAGTGTGACTACGAAGCTGACAAGGGAGACAGCTGGGGCCACGTAGGGATGGAAGTCTCAGCTGGACTCCACAGTGGCCCCCACAACTCTCCAGGGTCAGACTATCCAGGTGTAAACCCGGGCTCTGCCACTAATTGTTATGTAATCTTGAGCAAGTTTCTTCACCTCTCTGTGCTAGGGTTGTCAGATTTAGCCAATAGAGTTAAAGAACCTAAATTTGAATTTTAAGTAAAAAAATGAACAATGTTTTAAGTATATTCCAGCCAATATTCGGGACGTGCTTATACAAAACATTGTTCATTGCCCATCCAACATTCTAATGTAACTGGCCATTCTGTATTTTATCTGGCAACCCTGCTTGGGTGCCTTACGTTACTATTCTATAAAATAAGCTGAGTATTGCCTATTTCATAGATAGTTGCTAGAATTACATGAATTAAACTTTTAAAGTACTTATTAAAAATGTCTGGCTCAAAGGAGGCTCTTGGTAAGAATTTGCTATTATTATGGCTGTTGTTTCCTTCTCTTTCTTCTTTCCCGTCTTATGCCTGTGCTCTCTGGAGGCTGTGGCTTGAGAAGCTCTCCTCCGGTTTCTAAACTCCCAGCACAACTCAAAGAGAGAATGAGCCTATTTCTAGGTTGAGGCCATTTGGCCCTGTGCATGGCTCTTCCCTACCCTGCCCTGCTGCATAAGGGCCACGCAGGGAATGAACCAAAATCTAGAGAGGTGGGGGCACTTCAGGCCGAGGGGCTCATCTCTGGTTGAGGCCCACATTTTCCCACAGTCCTCACTGCCTCCAAGTGCCAAAACGTCAGAGGAGCAGAACCAGAGAGCAAGACCTCTATCCATGGGCTTGGACGGAATCGGGAGGGGGAGATTTGGTACTGATAGACACGGACTTAAAGGGCAAGAGAAGCCCACCCTGGGGTGATATAAATTAAACCGACACTAAATTAGTGTTTAAGTGAAAACGCCTAGTGTTCTGCTTCTTAGCCTTTAAATGTATGAATGGGAAGGTTAAAATTTTATTCAACCAAATACCATGAATAATAGGCTATTGTTCTAACTTATGGCCAATTAAGGAAGACAGACAGAAATAAAGAAAGAGGTGGGGTCAGGACAGAGGCAGAGACAGTGAGTATAGAAAATTGGCAGAGGACAAGGACCCAGGGAGAGAGACACACAAAGAAAGAGCCAGGGAGATTATTTAGGGAGAGAGAGAAGAAAGTCAGAGAGACAGAAAGGAAAAGGCACAAGCCCTCTCCCGGGTATGAGAGCAAATGCATGCGGACAATCAGAGACTGGCTTATCGTGGAGGGAAAAGAACACGCTGAGTCTGTTCTGGGGTACAGTACGAGGTCCTTACACACATTTTCTCATGGTATGGATGGAAGACCTGAGGCTCAGTGGCACAAAGTGACTGATAAATCCCACATGATGAAGAGTAGAAGAGAAAGGACTGAAACCTAAATCACCTGCCTCCCAGACCATCTCAGTTCCACCCTGCCTTTGCAGAGATCTGAGCCAGCTGTTAAGCCCCCAGTACTCAGCATGGCATATCTTTGCTGAATTAACAAATGGATTGATACATCAATCATCATTTATATTCATGAGTTAATTTAATAAGTATTTGTGATTGCCCCTTGTGTGCTGGCACTAGGTTCTGGGGAGAATGTGGCCATAAACGAAACAGGCAAAGTCATTACCTACACAGAACTGAACATGTTACTTATGTGAGAAGAACAACGAGAAAATATACCAGTTTAGTGTAGGTCAGAGGACATGCGATACAGAAAAAAATAAACAGAGAAAGAAGCATAAAGGGGAAGGGGGCCCCCTAAGTTGGTGACATCCTAGCAGATGTGTGAGTGAGCCGCCAGGGAAGGGAGTGCCAGGGAGGAGGGACAGCAAATGAAAAGGCCCTGCGGTGGGACCTCGTATGATTCTGATTCTGTTTCTTCTGAACTTCTATAATTTGTTATCTATCTCCCAAAGCAGCCTTTGCTCAGAGTTGCTGTTGCCTGAAGATTATTGAAGCCAGCTCATCCCAGAGCCCTTACTGACTTCTATTTCAATAGCAAAGGAAACAGAGAAGGGTGAACCAGCAACACTAACAGAACAGGAAGGCGAGGGAACAGGAGGAAATGAGGGAAGGGTGGAGGAAAAAAGAAAAAAGAAAAAGGGAAGGGAAAAGAGAGAAGAGTAATGAGAAGATTCCATTCACAAGAGCAATAAAATATAATATACCTGGGCATAAACTTAACAAGGATGTGTGGCAGTTATGTGCAGAAAATTATAAAGCATTACTGAGATCCATAAGGGAACAGTAGGAGAAATGGAAAATGATACCATGGGTAGCACTTATTCTAAATATGCAATTCCCCACACATACATTCTGGGATGTAACAATCAAAATTCCAAGAGGATTTTTTTTTTTCAAATCATTTACTGTCTTGATTTGAAAACAGAAAGAATAGCTAATATTTTTAAAGAATAATGAAAGAAGACAAGTGCTGACAGACATTAAAATAGGTTAGAAGCTACAATAATTTTTAAATTGGTGGGCTGGCTGACAAATGTCAAACCAATGGCATGGAATAGCTGACCCTGACCAAGCTGGAAGGGGAAGCTGAGGACGCTCAGGGTTTGGACGTATCCTCACAGGTCTGCACGGTTCTTCCTTTCAAAGCTTAAATGCCTTAGATTTTTAGAACACTTTGACAAGTAAACTTGAATGGCACCTTTAAGCCCATTTACCAGGAGAGGGAAAAAAAAAAGACATAAAGATGGGGTGACTTGTCCAGGATGACTTGATTTTTCTGGTAGAAGACAGACCTCAGCTTAAGACCCTGGTTCCCAGCCAGTGGGTTGTCCCATAGTCCTTGTGCTCCATCATAACAACCTCATAGGAAACCATGACACTGGCTGTCTGTGAGCTGTGCTTGTGTGTCCCCTGGGGTCAGTGGGGCGGGGGTGGGGGGATGGGAGATGAGTGTGCCCTTTGACCCTCTGCCCTGCAAAGACAAAGCCCAGCAAAAGGGCATGCTCCAAAAGACATCAGGCTGTGAGCCAAGAGGTTGATTTGACCCCCAAAATGTTTACTTATGGGGTACCCACTAAATTCCAGGCACTGGCAGGCCCACAGCAGCCAGAGCCCATTCAGGATCTCAAGGAACCTTCTGTCCTCTGTATTGCCCTGGGCCTCTTGCATCCAAGGGACAATGTGGCCTAATGGTGGAAAGTATGCCTGATCCAACATGGATGGCCTGGAGTTCTGGTCTTGGCTATGGCATTGACCAGCTTGGGGGCAGTGGCTTTGCTTCCCTGGGGCGTGGGTCCTTCCCCTGTGGGAAGACATAACAGTCCCTTTCCAGCCTGCTCGCGTGGTGGTCGCTGTGAGCCTATGGCAGGGGCCAGGAAGCCAAACACCTGTTTATGCGCATTCCACAAGCTGAGTGTGGGTTTTATATTTTTAAATGGTTGGAAAAAGAATCTAAAGAAAGGTAATATTTTATGATGTGAAAATCACATGACATTCAAATTTAAGTGTCCATAAATAAAGTTTTGTCAGGACATCACCATGCCCAATCACTTAGGTGGCATCTATGGCTGCTTTTGTGCCACAGCAAAGCTGTTCATCCAGAGACCACATGCCTGAAAAACTCAAAACGTACTATGGGGCCTTCACAGGAAAAGTTTACTGATTCCTGGTATAGAACATTGAAATATTGTGCTGGAAATTGCTTTACACATGGGAGGATGTACGGGCGAGCTAAGTCTGGGCATGGACACAGGCCACGGAAGGCCTGGCAGGGACCAGAAGACCCCTCTCTGAACTCATGGGCCTCAAGGGCTCCTGACTGGATGAGCTACCAGACTGTTGCCTCTTGGGGTGAGCAGCTCCAGGGGGTTGGCCCGGGAGAGGAAAGGGAGAGAGGCACTGTTCACCCAGCCCACTATGTGAGCCAAATCTGCCAAGGCCGAGAAGATGACACAGCCACCCACCCTCACCTTCAGATATCACCCAGCCCACTGTCACCCTCAGACGTCACCCAGTCTACTCTCATCTCAGTCTTCTCCCAAGGCTGGCTTAGTGGCAGCAGCCTCCCTCAGCGCAGACCCAGCCCTCCATCCCCTCTGGCCACTCACGTGGTCTCGTTGTTCATGTCAGTGATGTCTATTCGGTCCAGAAACCAGCCTGCTCTGTTGCCTGAGTTGTCATGGCGAATCCGAATCTTGGCCAGAGGCCCCAGGTCAATGGCATAGATGGTGAAGGTATCTGTCTGGGAAGGGACAGAGTGGTACTCAGTGGGGCAAGACCCACACTCACACTTCACCAGCAGTTCTACCCTCCCCCAGATTCGAACCTTCCAGCTAGAGGCCCACTGTGAGACCCAAAGCAACTGGGGGTGGAGATGAGGGAAAATGTCACTTTTTCCATCTGGTGTTTGGTCTGCAAGACTGTTTCCTTAACTTGCCCCTGCCAGGAAATCTTCTATCACTGTGTCCAGGAAGGTGGTGGGAGGAGAGGGCAGGGAAGGTGACCCTGCGAGAGAGGCAGAGGAGCCCACGTTCGTGGTGTGTGTGCTGGGGGGGCACTGAGACCCTGTGTGTGATTTCCCTCAATCACAGATTTGTACAAAGTACCTGCTCTGGACCACCAGTCCAAATCCAAAGTGACCGAGATGGAAGACTTGGACTTGCTCGCCACATACGGGGGAATATGAAGTAAGAACCACACTGTGTGTGTGCACAAAACTGCTGTGTGTGCAGATGACACTAGGACCACATAAGCCAGGCATCCTCCAACTATAGCCCACGGGCCACATGCGGCCCACCGAGGACATTTATCCAGCCCCCTGGGTATTTTTGCCACTGCTGCCTGTCCTGCTTAGCAGCTGACTCGTCCCGGGGCCCGCGGTCCGGCCCTCCAATGGTCTGAGGGACAGTGAACTGGCCCCCTATTTAAAAAGTTTGAGGACCCCTGACATAGCCAATGGGGGTCTTCTTGGCTCTATAACTTTTTTGACTCTTAAGTTTGAAAATGATTTCAAATCTACAGAAAATTTGCAGACAATGCAAGTTGGACACCTTTACTTGCATTATTGCAATATGTGCTTTATCACTCTATCTCTTGTGCTCTTCTCACTCTTTCTGCTGTTTTCAGAATCATTTGAAGGTAAGTGGCAGATACCATGAACCTTCACCTCTAAATGGTTCAGCTTGGCATTCCTAAGAACGAGGACATTCTCATATAACCACAGCACAATTCAACTCGGGAAGCTTGACATTGACAGTGCTAGTGCCTAATACTCCTTATTTATGTTTCATTGAGTATACCAAGTAAGTCGTGCTCTAGAAAGTTTTTCCTAATGTAGGAAGATCGTGGCTATACCTTTTAAAGGAAAGCACTGAAATGCAGAAATAAACCATGACCCTCAAGTCATGGGAGGGAATATTTAAAGAAAAAGCGGGGTGCCCCCAAGATAATCAATCAATGAGCCCAGAAGTATTTTGATGAACTTAGTTCATTTTTGTTTGTTTCTCTGTGTTAATCAGAAAACCTGGCTTTGGAATAGAGGCAGGAATGGGAAGGGTGAGGTAGGGGACGGTCTTCTAGATGGGGAATACTGTAAAATGTTGAAGGACAAAAAGGACAAGGATGACAACTTTGCTTTTCACACTTTTCCCACTCCACCAGGAAGAGGGTGGTATGTGCATTTCCTCCCTGGCTTCTCACTGCTTCAGGATGCAGTTGGACTTCTCAGCCCACCTCTCAGAGCCCCACTCACCCCCATACACTAAATCGGTCTCATCCGCTAAATTATCCACTAGGCTCAGCACTGACCCTGGCTCAGCTGGAAGACTCACTGTCGTCCCCTGGCCTCCCTCACTTTCACTTCCACATCTTCAGTCCTGCGGCCCCATCTTCCGAGAACGTCTTGCACTGTGATCTTTATCCATCCATGCCATGCTCATCTGCCCAGGCTAATTTAGGCTGCTCTTTCCCACCAAGTACTCCCCAAGGTGCCATTTCACAGTGACTATTTCTCCTTGATGCCCTGCTGCTCCT